TACTATCGGTTTTATCGTGAAACTGTCTGTCTTATGTCGGGCGAAAGCTTGGCTCTTGTACACCTAAAAGATGTGGAATGCCTCGTAGACTGCGTAAACATGTATGTTGTAATAAAATCAGATGGCGACAGAACAACACGAATCAACTGCTGTCTTCTGGTGAGATCAACCTGCTAATCTTTTCATTAAACCATAACATTTCACTACAAAGATAAAGTCACGACCGATTCGCCTATTCAACAAGCTCGTCGACAATATCTGTATCACATGGCTGCTGTAGACAAAGTCTCTTGCCGCTTCTCGAAGCCCTGTCAGGCACTGGCTCGTATGGATCGTGGTATCTCGGCTACAGTTCCGGGGAGTACTTTTACAACAAATATATGACAAGGACTCGACGGATATTTAGGCATTGGGTTGCTCTACAGTGAATAATTTGTCCAGAAACGTCTTCATAGCCTCTTTTCGACATGCAGAATATGATTACTCCGTTAAGCCTGCCAACACACCCCCACCTAATGCCTAGAGCCATCACACACATACACATACGTACAGACGGACGTGAATACACACCAAGAGCGGTGGTGGTCATCACTGGGTCAGTGGAAGCATAAATGTTATGTCCATCATGGCCGAGAGTGGGTGAAATATGCTGTTTTTTCGGCAACTTTTAGGACTTGTGTGTAATCAGAGAAGAGGGAATAAATCTGGGATTGGTATAGTATATTCGGACAAAGTGTGGTGCACATAAACCTTTGATGAGGGCCCAAGCCCTGCGGCCCAGGTGAACTGGGATATGCTGACAAATCAACCTGGCTTGGAGGGTGGAGGAGGCAGGTCGCTGGGGCAATGTGATTTATTCCCATGCCGGCCCCAGAGAGCTGATGATTGCAAGGACGTCCCACCTGTAAAGTCGGCCAGTCGGAGAATGCAACGTTGGGACGAGGAAAGACTAGCCAAAGAAGAGGTAAACAGGCGGACCGACCTTGGGGTCAGACAGCATGACCAGTCGTCAGGGTATCAAAGTGACCCGGCGCCCCAACGCTCGAGGGGGCTGGAGGGAGTGTCGGAAGTGGGCGGTGGCCGGCCGGGAACCGGATGATTGTTGACTGGATGAAGAGGGCTGGGAGGCATGAAGATGGCTTTTCGTAAGACAAACGGACCGTGGTGCCGGCCTTCGAAGAAGGCCGTGAAGTGTTTACGAATATGGGCATGAGGCTGGGATTCATGAACTGGGCACATCTTTGAGTGGGATAACTCGGGAAAGAGCGTCGCGAGAAGAGGACAGATCTACAATAGGAAGCGGATGGGAAGAATTATCGGTAAGATGACCGGAAGACAATATGGAAGGAAAGGGGGCGGAAGTGGAAATATGGGTGGAACAAACTATCCGACGATCACAAACAAGGCGCGAAAGAGTTCAAGAGTCCTAGCACCCTTATCAGCATTAGAAGCTTTCAAGGAAATAGAGCAATTGTAGAAATGAAGACCCAAAATTTGGGACCTTTTTGTTCAGTCACAATCTACCTCGAAGCACGTTGTAATGTTTTTCGTTTGTGAGTGGGGTTTCGAGACTACCAGTAATTGTTTGATATGGAAAAATGGCAGGTTTTCCTCGAAATTCACATCTGCCCTGTGACCCAATGAGAGTAGTGCCAATGTGATGCAGTGGATAACGTGTAGAGATAATATGCAGCACTTTCATGGTTCGGGTCCCGCTGTGATTATTGATAAGGCCTATGCGAGGTCGAGACTGTAGTCCACCTTGGATACAAATACCTTTTAGTAAAGTAAGGCCCTGTGAAATGTAATGGAAATGTATGATCTGCTCATATGCTTGTGGGAAAATTCAACTACCACTCCTTTATCACCTTAAACAAAATGGGGTAAATACATCTTATTGCTGTCAAGCTTTTTTCTGGTTTTAGACTAAGAAGACGTCCAAGCGTTTTGAATTTCGACGAAAGTATCAGTGATTTTGGACTAAGCTGGAATTCGAAGAATTCTTTAATGACTTAGTTTAATTCGACTTATTCACTTTGAAAGAAAAGTTGGTTGGAAGCAATTAAAAAATTGGTCTCACCGGAAATCGAAGTATAATGGCCTTGTAATGGAGACTCTTGGATTGTCCGAACGAGTCCTAGGCTCCGATGCTCGTCTCTCCTGCCGCGATAGTTGTCGTCAGGGCAAAATATTATACTTTACGAAAAGCCGCACCAAATACAAAATTCAGGGGAAAAGGGTAGTTGGCTGCAATCATACACATTTCTATACCTAAATTTGCTTTCTTAAAGAAGCCTCTATGCTTTGATTGCCTAATTCATACTTATTTATCAATGTTATCAGTAGGTTTTCGAGATCACTAGTATATCTGAATCACCCTATTTTGTTTGAGGTGACAAAGGACTGCTAATTGTTGAGCTTACTTCCATTTCGAGTGAAAGTGTTGGGTGAAGACATTCTAAGGTCGGTTCCACCAGAACACGACGAAAACGGTGCTTAATTCGAAAAATAATTTCACACAACATTGCTTCCCGAAAGGTATTCGCATCGGGGCAGGTGAGGGCTGCCATTTCGACCTC